AAGATGCAGGTGGCCCAGGTTTGGCTCTCAGTTTTAGCCAGTGCAGAACTCTACTTTGTGCATAGTCATCTTTCAAGAGTGCATTGTAATCCAAATGTGCTAACACAACATCCCAAAGTGGTTGTTTATCTGTCGACATGATTATGGAAAAACTACTGGTCCTATCATCATGAAATTTGGCAGCAGGGTGTGGCATGGACCAAGGAAGAACCCTTTGAATTTTGAAGGGCATCTGAAACACAGGGCAGATACACAACTTATTTTTCACTCTTGTCAACATTGTGAGATACAGGGAACCTTTCTAGATCAGCACCAAGACCACCATCATGTCGGGAAAGAGCAAATAAAGGGTGTCAAATGCTTCTATTATAGGGTTAATACACAGGTTAATACAGAGGAACAGCATTAATATACTGCAGCCAAGTGTTACCCAGTGTTTCTGTCTTTGTCCAGGCAAAGTGAAAAGCTCTATGCTCTTATTAACTGTTTGTTTTTTAATGATCTTCTGTGATGTCATCATGTCGTGTGGTCCTCATACACAACCCAAAGAAATATTTTTTTTTACCAGATTTCTTTCTTTCTTTCTTTCTTTCTTTCTTTCTTTTTCTTTTTTTTTTTTACAAAAGCGTATGTATAAAGGAGAGTTTTTATGTAATATGACTATTAAAAAATAAATATATCAGTGGATATTTATGTGTATAAAACACACTTTTTACGAAGCCCAACCTGCTTTACTTGAATAAGTAAACACTGACCAATGGCACCAGACTGGCTGACCCGTATCAGCGTTGCCAGGTGTACGATAATTATTGTATTTGTACGATAATTTGGCCCTCTGTACGATGTACGATCAATAATCCCAAAAAAAAGGCCAAATGTACGATAATTTGACCATTTCATGAATGTGTGGTTGTAACCAGTATGCCGGAGTTTTTTTTGTGAGCCCTGAAGGCATCTGTTCCCATGTGACATGTTTCCAGATTGGCTGAATGGTCAGCTGTACCCGCCCCACGAAGCGCAGGAACTGCCCATTGGTTTGACAGCCCATTGGTTCGACATCCCAGTGTTCCGACCATATTAAACTCATTGTTCCGAAGTCCATTCCGAAATCATCATGATGCCCTGTGGTTAAGGTCTGGTTAGGTTTAGGCACAAAAACCACTTGGTTAGGGTCAGGAAAAGATCATGGTGTGGGTTAAAATGAAAAAGAAAGTGACAAACACATAAGCCGTGAGCCTGCTCTGTCTCAAGCCGGTCGCGGTGCACCGTACGCCCGCTGCAAGCCGCTCATCACCGCGGACAGTCGGACTAATGGGATGTCGAACCAATGGGCTGTCGAACCAATGACATGGACCCCGAAGTGCTAGGACCCATCAGGAAGTCGAGCGAGAATGAGATTCAAAACAGAAGAAGAAGAAGAAGAGGAAAAACAGAAGCAAGGAAAATGGAAAAAAGTAAACACTAGAGTGACTATATTTGCCTATAGCGCATCAGTAGGATTGTTATTTTGGTTATGTGATGTACTATTTTGATGTACGATAATTTCCCTCAAAATACGATAATTTTGAGTCTCTCACATTTCCCATCTGGCAACGCTGGCTCTCACTCAGTGGATGGATGATGTCACAGGAAGCCAATCTTACAAAGGAGGACCACACTTGTTTGTTTTGCTATGGAAGCTAACGTTAGCTAATGCGCTAAAAAGTTAGCATTCCAGAGAAATCCAGTCTTCCTCTTAATCCCTCCCCAGTTTCTGATGAGGTGGACATGATAACCCTTAATACACATAACGTTATTCATCCCTACAACAGGAAATACTTTCTCCCTAACCTGATATGAAGTGTGCGCTGCACATGTGAGCATTTTTGATGATGGCCTCCATCCAGTCCTTTGGTCTTATCACATTTAACCATAGTTGTCTCTGTGAAAAAGATTTCTCAACACAGAACAAGAACAGTAGTTTTGCATTAATTATTCATAATGCTGTTAAATAATGAAGCAGGTCTTTATTTCTAGGTAAGAAAACACTTGGTGACCTCAGAGATGAGACGAAGCTTGCGTGATAGTCCTGATTTGAAGCTGATCCTGAAGGAGCAGGCTCCCTCGTCGTCTCCACCGCTCTGCTCTGCCCACCAACCCTCCCTGCCAGCTGCCTCCACTTCCCTTTGTCTTACTTGTCTGTCTGCGTGTGCTCATATTGGCCATAACTTACATGGCTGTCGCATGAAGGCATGCTCATAACAAAATTTTAAATCATTACCTCACTTTCCGTGGACGTCATTGCCGAGCCGTTAAAGTCAAGCTGGATGAGAAAATTAAACAAAATGATAGTTAAAGATGATAATGACAGCCAAGAGTCACAGTGTTTCTGTAAATGGAGCCGAGCACATTCCCACTGAACATTTTATTCTGTGTTTTACAGTCAGTGAAGTTGCCAAATAGTCGATTTGCCAGGATTTAGGGACTGACATCATGGGACTGAATAACTTTGTCATCACATACATTACTCCAGGTTTAGGCTCAAGATGAAGTGTATATTGAATTCAGTAAGCCTTCAGAGTCCACTTTGTCATCACACAATAATACAGTAATACAAACAGGCACCTTTTAGGACTTCTGGACAGGGGGATACAGTTTTCCAAGCTGGGCCCCTCACCCACTTCAGCACCACCACGACCCAATTTAATACCAGCAATTTCAAATAGGCTCTCAGCTTTTGACCCTTCGCTAAGTCCCGCCCCCAGATGTAGACTTACCAATCGTAACGTAGCATCGGGTCGGCTCAGACCAGGGTCCGACAACAACAACACAGCTGTGCGCCATCGTTTCCGATTTCCTTCATTTTCAGGCTGGTTTTGTGGATTTGGAGCTAAGTGTTGTGCCTGGGGCACGTCGTGTATTAAAGCCGCTACAAAGAACTTTTAACTGGATATGCAAAAGTCTCTGGTTTCTGCTGATGTCTGTGCGTGACCTACAACAGCAAATGAGACCATCGGTGTGAAGATAAGCTATTTCTATATAGTGTATATCCATACCTTTAGGAAACTGTCTCCGGGTCCGCCTCAGGTCGCTTCCAGGACAAAACGATTTACGGCACTCAGACGGCACTCGTCATCTTACCTAGCTGCTTACATTTATAGTGACTCTTATAAATAGTCGCTGTTCCTCCTCCTCGACCCGACGTCTGCGGGGAGTTAAAATAGCAGCAATCATCGGGTAAAAGTTCCGTGAAAGCACTGGACTCACCAACAGTCAGCCACGTCTCAGTCACACAGAGAAAATCCAATCCTCGGGAAGTCAGGAAATCCTTCAGGATAAACGTTTTGTTCGCTAGCGATCTAGCATTTACCAGCCCAATCCTGGCAGGAGCCGGCGGGTCCACGGCGTTAGCTGTCCGGGGAGCCACACACAGAGGCCGCAGGTTGTGCAGATTCACCCCGCGCCAGCGGGGACAAGGAGAGCAGGGGCCGCGGGGCTGGAACACCTCATCCGGGCCGACGACAGGTACCAGCCAGGCGTCGACAGGGTCCACAGTGCGGTGGCGCTTACGCCAGAGAGGTGGAGCTGGGGCGCGGCAGAGATGAGCTGGGATCCCCGATAGGAGCGGGGGCAAAGTTTTCCCGTCTTGTTGTTTCATTCATCCCCAAAACAAACACATGCGCGAGCCAGGTAAGCGTCTTTACGACAATACGCACTAGAGCTCATGGGAAATGTAGGCTTCATTCCGGCAAAACACTACCGCTTTGGTCCACAGGGTCGCCAAAATCAACTCAGAATGAAAGTTCCTTGTAGGGGCTTTAATGATACTCGTTATCTGGAGAGGTTGGAAAAAGATATACATTTCTTCCCTGTTCCAAAACCAAAATCAAACCCTGAAAAGTGTAGGGTTAGCTAGCTAGCTACTGAAGATATAGCCTACTGAATGTACACACATGCTGCTTTTGCTTTGTAATGATTATAACAGTGAAACAAAGAGCGACCCTGCTGTACAGGAACCAGTGAAGGGAAGCAGGAAAACTTTGCTGATATTGAACCAGCTGTGTGTCATCACAGTGTGTGCAGATGAACTTTGTTTGGCTTCAAACAGAAGGGCACTAGCGTCAGCATAGAAGGGAAGCCGAACACCATTCATCTGTGCACACTGCGATGCCACACAGCTGGTTCAATATCATTAAAGTTTGCTTCTCTCTGGAATCACTCTTTCATTTGTCCAATGATATGATAACATTTCTTCAGGCAGTGCAGTTAGTTACAGTGTGGGCTCCATGCTTACTCCCAGCAGCTTGTTGGACTATCACAAAGGCAAAAGGTAAATTTTTGTAACTTTTCCAAACTGATACATAATTTGAACTCTCAAGATTTTTTTATTGTTCACTCTCCTGCCTCTGACACGGGGGGCCGGAATCAAGCCCCCAGCTGCTGCAGCAGGGACACAGCATCTGTACTTGGGTTGCCCGCTCTACACACAGAGCCAGACATTGCTGCAAATTATCAGATCATAAGATCAAATCACGAGTGATCAAATAAATGTTTGCTTCATCCACCAAATTCAATCTTGAGGTCCACATGATGATAATAACGTGTGTTCTGCACATCTGACCCCTGCTGCAGTTGGGAGAGCTGGGACACGTCAGGGAAACAAACCCATTTCTAGAACAGGTAAAGGCATCTGTATCTGTACATAGACACATGGGGTGGTCTGTGGAAGTTAAGATATGTACAGACTGATATGTACTTTATGTATCTTTAACTTATGATTTTACTTTTGGCACCAGGATTTGAATTGTCGGGCCCAAATAAAATTATATAAAATAAAATAAAATTCAAAAAACTGTATGAATTATTACTGAATCTATTTGTACCATTTAACAATATTGATATTTTAATATTGTTTTTTTGTTTGTTTGTTTGTTTCCCCCTACGACTTCCATGACTTCCGCTTCCTGTGATGAGCCTTAATGAGTGACAGGTGACGCGGTTACTATAGCAGCCTGTAACAACACAGAGCGCGTGAAGATGGAGCCCAGTGCAGCCGCCCGTTTCCACGACTCTGTGACACAGTTTAAAACCTACGAAGATTACCTGGACTCCAAAGTGACGCCAACGGATTTATTTTACTTAAAAGTGAGTCACTCTGCTACAAAGTTTAACTTTAGTGTCCCTGTAACGTTAACTATCTTTGCTACGTAACCGCGGTTACGTACTTGGACATCACGTCAGAACCGCTTTCACTAAACTGTCAATTTAAGGTAATCTTAGCAATTAAGCAACAGTTGACGTTAGAAACACATAATTTTTGACTTTTAAAAATAAACATGTTCCTTTCTTTAATTCGGCATGTACCAAATCTCATAACACATTCTTTTAATAATACAGCATCGCTTTTTTGCTCTCAAGACCGCAGCAGCAGCTAGTTGACGTTCTGGCGTGAGAAGGCTATGAAGCAAGAAACCCAGTTTTACACTTTAGCTTATTACGAATTTATCTACCGTTTCCTAAGCCAAGCATCAGCCGAATTGAACATTGTATTCCTGAGATTGTTCAGGTGACTTAAGGGATGTTTTTCAAGTTAAGCCTCTCTTGCTAGTTAGGAAGGTAACACACTTGCCGAAAAACTGAATGGAATCTGGCTTATGCTCCTCTCTATACTCAAAACGACGCATTAAGTAGCAGCTAAGCTTAAATGTAGTAATTTTAAAGTTTCTCCAATTGTTTTCTTGACAGTGTTGATCAGCACACATTAACTTTTGCCGTATCAAAGCACCGTGGAGTCACATTCATGCTGCAGTGCCATGGGAATAAGTTTTGTTGGTGTAGTGCGTGTAGGCGCGCGCTAGGTGGCAGTCACACACTGGTTGGGTAAAAAATAGTTTAAACTGCGGCCTTTTCAAGCAGCTGCTGCCAGTCCTCATCTAACAATTGTCTCATTGGGGGGATATAAATGAATGGAATTAAACATTTATATAATTTCTCACCCAGTCAAACAATTTCAAAGCAGCTGAGGCAACAAAATGCTATTAGATTGTTATATTTTTCTCTTTTGGAAAGTATTTAGCAAATTCTTCTGAGGCCCACTACGACAATGTTGTGTTTACTGCTAACAACTGTTATTGTGGTAAGACTATTAGGATTAAAAATCACAGATGTATGCCATATTGGAACTACAAGTCCTGAAAAAGCTTTAAAGTGACTTATAATGTCTAATTTCAAGGAGTCAAAAGTTTTAATCTTCACTTTTGCAAATGCTGAAATGACCTGAAATGCATCCACCATTGTGATGATGCTGATAATAATAATGACAATGATGATACTTTATTGTTAGGTCTCATTAGGTCTGAAAAGTGTTGTGCCTCACAGCAGCTCCATTTGCCACACCACACTGAGAAAATAACATTGTTAACCAAATTAAAATAATGACTTCAACTGGTAACACACAAATGAATTAAGTTTATTTTTAAAAATCGAATTAACAAGTTCAGTTGACATTGAATTGCTTTGGAACTGAGTCTAAAAAACTAAATCCATTCGTGTGTTACGAGTTGGAGTATTTTTTTTTAATTCTTCAGTTTTTTTAGTGCAATTCAAGCCTAGTTCACATTACACGATTTTCACCCTGATTTTGCGTCGCGGAGACTATCGTAACCTTTTAAGTGTTCATACCTGGCGACGTATGTTTCTGTCATCGGGAGTCTCGCCAACTGTGTAACGACCTGTGTGTGCACACCACAAGATTTCAGAGACAGAGCCCCAGATAACACAGTGACGTCATCAAACTACGTTTTTTAACTTGGAGACGACACATGGTAAAGGCATGGATATTCTCCCCTGTGTTGAATCAGATCTGCCTCCAGGGCCTGGGTCTAAACACAACATGCTCCCCGTGATCCTGTGAATGCCGCCATTGTTGTTGTTGCTTGTCGGCTTGTCTGTGTTGCCAGATCTTGGGAGAGAAACAAGCAACCAGGGCTATGGAAACGAGCCCAAAAGAAGCGACGGATATATATAGAGAGAAAGGCGACGTTTAGAGAGCAAGCCCAAATAAGCAACTCCATTTTAGAAACAAGCCCAAAAAAAACACAACCCGCGACTACCAATTTTTGTAAGTGACTTTACAAAAAAACAAGCCCAAAGTCGCGGCTAATAAGTGGACCTGGCAACCCTGCAACTTGTCCTCCTCACATTTCTTCTGTCCTCCTGCGTGCTGACGTGGGACGTATCCCGCCTCTCATTGGCTGATGCTCTTTGTCAGTCGTGTCAGACTTCTCCAGTTTTCTAGCATGCCAGATATCCAGTCCCAGTCACAGACGAGGGGGCGACTTGCTCCTAGGCTTGTTCACACATGAGGACTCGTCGTGGCAGACTATCTGCTGACTCACCTCCGACCCAAAGTGGCTCTCAAGATCCTCTGCGACGTCAAAATCGTGTAATGTGAACTAGGCTTTAGACAAGAAACAAAGATACTGACATTTGACATAACGTTAAAGACACTTCAACATTAATTTGTACCACAGAGTGCTTCAGTTCAACGTTTTAAAACATGGGACGCTGTATCTTCGATTTCGATTCATTAAATTGAAGAGAGGCTTAACTGGAGAAACACCACACCAACAACACTTATTCCCACGGCAATGCCAGCATGTATGGGACTTAGTGCTTTAATACAGCAAAAGTTAATGTGTGATAATAAAAAACCGTCGAGACAAGTGAAATTAAAAAAAAAAAAAAATACTGTAAAATGACTTCATTTAAACTAGGCTGCCACTAAATGTGTCGTTTTGAGTATAGAGAGAATTAAAATAAATAAATTCATAGTAAGTGGAAGTGTAAAACAGGTTTATTGCTCCATAATCTTCTCACACCTGCTCGTCAACTAGCTGCTGCATTTAATCAAAGACACAGTGTCTCACGTTTTAATGAGGTTAAAGCAAACTTATTGGCCTTATTTTGTCCTTAGTACCAATTTATTAAAATTTATACTAAAATATTCTCCGATGTAAATCTTCTCAGGTTTTTGGTCTTAAACTTACTCTGACTAGTACACAAATAGTCCTGGATACACTTGAATTGAACCTGCTCATCACAAATTGACAGTCCTGCTCTTGTCCAGCAGATGGCACACTTGCTAATGCTAAGCGTAGCTGCTGCAGTGGGCTGCTTTGTTTGAACACCTGTGTCCACACAGAGAAGAGAACAACTCATATCTGACCTGATAATCAGCTGCAGTCAATCACTATCAAACTCGCTCACCCCAGTGTTGTGACACACCACAGTCGGCCCAGGTTATCTAACCTGTGCAGTCCCGCTGATAAGACCCAGGTTCTGATAAATCAGCTAATTATAAACGTAATTTTCCTGTTACTTAGGATTTGTCACACCATGCATGTGAAGTCAGAAAAGAGAAGCAGTTAAAGAGGTTTCATTAGAAGGTCAGTGCGGCCTCTGCCAGGATAGATGTTGCTGTGTATTAGTCCAGGTCCTGCTGTGTCGACTCTGAGAAGCAGCTCATTCAAATAGACTTATTCAATGAGCCCTGAAAATGAAGACAATGATTTTCGGGCCAATTTTAGGACCGGCAAATGTCTGAGACTCATTTCTGGTGAGCCACATCAAAGTTGAAGGAAAATATAACTTTTCCTCTCGGGTGCGGACGCAGGCCTGGCTGCTGGGATTTTGGGTAGGAGGACATGTGGCCGACGCTTTGATCTGACAAGCCACAGGATTTGACAGCAAGATTTGGTTTTTAGATGATGACTTTATGGCTTGGCTTTAATGACGGCGGGTCTGCAAACGGTGATTGGAATAGTGAAGCTAACAATCCCTACAGAGGCACTGACACATGCACGCGCACACCCACTTAGAAAAGGAATGGACCTGTTTTCAGTCATTAAATCTAAACTCTCAAAATTTAATGATACCACCTCCATATTCTGGGAAAGTTATTTTAAGTAGAGGCCAGAGGGGTGAGTTTCATTTATCAAAACTCAACCCAATGGCCAGAGTAAATGTTGGCATTGTACATTTATGCAAACCACAGATATATAACATTTTGTGTGTCGTGATGTAGTGGGTATGTAAACTCTACTTTTCTTTACATTACCACAGTGTTGTGGTTAAGGTGTGGTAATGTTTTGGCACAACTACGTGGTTATGGGTAGGAAAAGATCATGCTTTGGCTTAAAGTACCCAGTTTTGGTGGCACGTTCGGCATTGGAATTGCTGCTGGAAATGCTGCTGATTTCTTACAAAACAACACCCGGTTTTGGTGGCACAGTCAGGCTGAAAATTCTGCCAATGTCTCGCTAAAAAGTAGCCAGTTTTGGTAGCACGTTTACATGCCACCGATGTCTTACTAAAAGTCACCTAGTTTTAATGGCATAGTTGCTGCTGGAAATACATCTGATGTCTCAATAAAAAACACTCAGTTTTGCTGAAGATGCTGCTAATGTCTTAATGTCTCACTAAAAATAGTCAGTTTTGGTGGCACAGTCGCTGCTGGAAATGCAGCCGATGTCTTACTAAAAAACAAAAATTTGGCGTCACAATCAGGCTGAATATGTTGCCAATATCACACTAAATAAACACAGGGTTTTGGCAGCACAGTCACTGCTGGAAAGGCCACCAGTGTCTCACTAAAAATTACCTGGCTTGGTGGTACAATCACTGCTGGAAATGCCTAGATGTCTCACTAGAAAATCCCTGGGTTTGTTTGCAAAATCACTGCTGGAAATTGAAACTGATGTCAGGCTGAAAAAAAAATCTGTTTTGTGGCACAGTTGCTGCTGGAAATGCTGCCAAATTGTTGCTAAAAAATACTCTGCTACAATCAAGGCTGGAGATGCGCCCGATGTGTCCCTAAAAATATCCGATTTTGGTCACACAGTTCCAGCTGGAAATGCGGCAGATGTCGTACTAAAAAACACCCAGTTTTGGTGGCACAGTCACTGCTAGAAATGCAAGTGTCGCTAAAAATACCTGGCTTGGTGACACAATAGCTGCTGGAAATGTTGCCAATGTCTTACTAAAAAACACTCTGTTTTGGCGGCACAATCGGGCTGAAAATGCTGCCAATGTCACACTAAAAAAAACACAGGGTTTTGGCAGCACAATCACTGCTGGAAATGCCTAGATGTCTCACTAGAAAATCCCTGGTTTTGTTTGCAAAATCACTACTTGAAATCGAAACCGATGTCAGGCTGTTTTGTGGCACAATTGCTGCTGGAAATTCTGCCAAATTGTTGCTAAAAAATACTCGGCTTGATGGTGCAGTCATGGCTGGAAATGCGCCCGATGTCTCACTAAATATATCCAGTTTTAGTCACACAGTCACAGCTGGAAATGCGGCAGATGTCGCACTAAAAAACACCTAGTTTTGGTGGCAAAATTGCTGGTGGAAATGCCATCAATGTCTCGCTACAAAAATACCTGGCTTGGTGGCACAATCTTGGCTAGAAATGTTGCCAATGTCTGACTAAAAAACACTCTATTTTGGCGGCACAATCAGGCTGAATATGTTGCCAATGTCACACTAAAAAGACACAGGGTTTTAGCAGCACAGTCACTGCTGGAAAGGCCACCAGTGTCTCACTAAAAATTACCTGGCTAGGTGGTACAATCATGGCTGGAAATGCTGTAGATGTCTTGCTAAAAAACAGCCGGTTTTGGTCACACAATCACTGCTGGACATGCCTAGATGTCTCGCTAAAAAAACCCTGGTTTTGTTTGCAAAATCACTGCTGGAAATGAAGTAAATAATTCCGTTTTGTGGCACAATTGCTGCTGGAAATGCTGCCAAATTCTTGCTAAAACAAAATTAAATACCCTGCACAATCATGGCTGGAAATGCTGCTGATGTGTCGCTAAGAATATCCGGTTTTGGTCACACAGTCACAGCTGGAAATACGGCAGATGTCGCACTAAAAAACACACAGTTTTGGTGGCAAAGTTGCTGCTGGAAATTCCACCAAGGTCTCGCTGAAAAAAATGCCTGGCTTGGTGGCGCAGTATTGACTAGAAATGTTGCCCATGTCTCACTGAAAACACCAGCTTTTGGTCACGTAATTGTTGCTGGAAATACCTAGTTGTCTTGCTAGGAAACACCAGGTTTTGGTTGTACAGTCATAGCTGGAAATACTGCCAATGGCTCGCTAAACAAACACCAGTTTTGGTCACACAGTCACCACTGGAAATGCTGCTGTTGTTTCAATTAGAAAATACTCAGCTTGGTGGCAAGATCATGGCTGGAAATGCTGCTGATGTCTGGCTAAAACATAGCCAGTTTTGGTGGCACAATCACAGCTAGAAATGTGGCCGATGTCGTACTAAAAAACGCCCAGTTTTGGTGGCAAAGTTGCTGCTGGAAATGCCACAAATGTCTCCCTAAAAATACCTGGCTCGGTGGCACAATCTTGGCCTGAGGTGTTGCAGATGTCTCACTAAAAAAACACCTGCTTTTGGTTGCGTAATTGCTGCTGCAAATGCTACCGATGTCCTATGAAAAAAATAACTGGTTTTGGTGGCTTAATCACTGCTAGAAATGCAGTTGATGTCATGTCAAAAAAAAAAAGAAAAACTGATTTTGGTGACACAATCATCGCTGAAAACACAGCTGATGTCTCGCTTGAAAACATTTTGTTGTTTGTTGGTCTCGAACGGTGGTCAGCAGCTTGGTAGCTTGTCACACCATCCACCATCATCTACACCTCCCAATGACAAAGTCTGCTCATATACATGTAATCAGAGCTACGTAACCTCAGAAACTTTGATATGATATGTATGAAATGTACAAATGTAATGTTTCAGTAGGCTCCAGAAATGTACAGTGCCATCATTTTCTTCTGGAGACTGGGCTGCAGTACTCAGCAGCGACTGCTGATCCGGGCTGAAATCCAGGATGTTGCATTAACTGGATATATGCTTCTCCTAAAATAACTACTGATTTATCGGCTAGTAGATCAGTACAAAATTAATCGTTTAAATCAAAGCAAATGTGCCAAATATTCTCTGCTTCCAGCCTCTAAAATGTGAGGACATGCTGCTGTTCTCTGTTTTATATCATTGTAAATTGAATATCGGTAGGTTTTGGACTGTTTGGCAGACAGAACAAGCAAAAGGACGTCACCTTGAGCTTGGGGAAATTGTAATAGGCATTTTTCACTACTTTCTGACATTTAATAGTAATAAAAAATAGCAGTCCTGAAGTGGTGTCCAAGAAGAGCAGTGAAAAAATAGATCACAGCATTCACAGCTCACCCTGCCAAAATTCAAGACTGACAAGATCTGACAATCTCCAGCCCTGACTGCAGGCCGTTTCCCCTCTCCCTGCCTGACTCCTCTCCTCTTCTTTTCTCTCGCAGAGCAGGGAGTTGGCCCGTAAGCTGGTGGAGCACAGCCACAAGGGCACAGTCCTGAGCAGGGAGGAATTTGAGGAGAAGAAAGCAGCTGCACAGGCTGCAGAGGCTGCAAAGAGCAACACTCTCTACAGCAGGAGCCGGCCAATGTGAGTTAAATTCTCACCCAACCCACCATGCTCACTGAGATGTTGTCCATATGACTAACAGGGGAGACGAATTCACACCAACCACCAGTCAAATGCTAGAATATCAGGAGGTTTTGTTATGTTCTGAAAATCACATTTGGTTGTTTTGAAGTCTGAATGTGGTCAGCAGATTTTGGAATAATTCAGTCACTGTGGCTGGGAGAAGAAGTTTACTCTCCTGGTGTCTGCCTCTCTGTTAGTGTTCTGTGGTTCATTGTATTGACTTCTCATTCAGTGTGAAAGAATAATATTTTAGGTGAGTGATCTCCTGTCTTCTCCCTAGAATCAGTTTGTTGTGGTGGAAGCTGGGAGCTCCCTGTGCTCGAGTTTCTGTGATACTTTCAGTTCCAAACCAGATCTTATATCTCAGGCCATATTAATGTCAAAGGATATGACAAAGAAAATGCATACCTGACCTAATATTTTTTCTTTAACATCAAGGTGTTTTTCGTGGTTTCAAATTTGCAAAATGTCAGAAAAAGTACTGAGACCTGGGCGAGATGGCTGCCAAGCAGCAGACCAGCGGTGTTTGTGGCGACAAAAGCAGGTATTTTTTTAAGGAGACGTCTGGGACATGCTCAGCCGCGGTTGTGGCAACAAATCCGGGTATTTTAAGCCAAAACACGATCTTTTCCTAACCATAACTAGGTGGTTTTTGTGCCTAAACCTAACCACACATTACAACGTACCATAAAATTGAAAATTGAAACGTAAAGTTTCAACCTATCGGCTACATGTAAGACATGCAAATGTGACATAGCTGTGGTTTGCAGAGATGTAACAATGCCAGGATTTAGTTTGGGGATTGGGTTGGTAGCTGATCTGAACCTCTGACCTTTGACTTTCCTGCGTTAGTCAGTATTGGGTCATTGTTGTTATTGTAAGGCTATGCACAGTCAATAGTTGTGTGTGTGTGTGTGTGTGTGTGTGTGTGTACTCACGTTTGACAAAAACAGACCAAAAATAGAAGTGTTTTTCTCAAGCGATGTGGGTGTGTTGCTTCAGGTGCTGGTAAAAATATCACAGACACAATTGACAACTGTGGGGTAGATGGCAGTCCTGTTTTGAGGTATTCTACCAGATATATGCATTTGCGTGCATTTGATTGCCTCCTGACGGTGTAGATTAAATGCAAATTTTTGCACCAATGTAATGCAACTGATTTCAACTTGAGCAAAAAAATGTGCTCTTATTCTGAGGCTTTAAAAACTGCTTTATAAATGTACAGAGAAGTGAGGAATAATGATAAAAAGGAGAGAGACTGTAGGGAAATGACAACAAGAAGTGGAGTTTCTGGTTAGAAGTTTACAGCTAATGTCTGGAGTTAAAGGCTGCAACTAGTAATTATTTTCATTATTGACTGATTACTTGATGAATCCATTAAATGAAATGAATCAATCTATGAAATGTTAAAGAAAAAATTAAATGCCATTCAGTGTTTCTTAGAGTCCACTGTAATGCCTTTAAGTTCAAGCCTCAAACATTTAGTCATAGACTATGTTGACATGATAAAATCCTTGTGGTAATTGACCTTTCAGCCATTGGGTTGAAACAACACTGTCAGAAGATCTCGCCTCTTAAACAGTTGTCAAATTCTTGATATGTAAGTCATTCTACATTTTGTCATACCTCCAGAAATAGGCTCAGATAACAGGTCAGCTTTTACACAAAAGTAACTCAAGGAATCTTACAGCAGTCAAGAATCAAGCAGTGTTTGGAAGCTGTTCACGCTGTAAGCTGTTTGCGCTAATAAGCTATCGCATGCAAACACACAGAAGCATGCATCTAACTCCACATGTACAGTAATACCAACAGGCAGACGCATGCCAGCACCTCATTTGAGAGAGCCCTATAAGGGACCCCCAACCAGCAGACCAAAGTGTAAAGATATTAAATTTCATATCATATGTGACAAAGAAAACAGCAAATCATCACATCTGAGAAGCTGGAACCCCAAAATGTTTCGCATTTAGCTTCAAAACTGACTGAAATGATTAATCAATTATCAGGAAAGTTGGCAATTAATTTTTGGTTGATTTGTTGTTGAACTAAATGATTCATGTCTGTAAAGAGATATCTGCACATGAATGCAGAATCTGTAAGCAGCCTGGTTTCCGTTTGTAGACCGAGTAGTTTTGACAGTCACATTTGAGAAGGCTTTGGTTGCATGCAGGTAGATGTTTTGTGTGGAGAACGAAAGAGGAGGGAATGCAGTCTTGGAACCTATTGGCTATTGTCTGACGTTGATATAGCTTTTTAATAACCTCCATAAACAGATATCTGCAAATTAATGTAGATAAATTATTTTAAAAAGCAAATAAAAAGCTGAATTTGTAAACAATGATTGGTGCGCCTATTTGCGAATCCTAGGATAGCGAAGGAATGGCCTGCCTTTCTCTCCCTCCGATTGGCTTACCCTGACATTCTTACTTTAACCATAACCAGTTCCACTCCTCTTGCCGATACCTAACCAATCCAAACAACAAAGGCAATGAGTACTAGCCAAGCGTAGGGCGGGTCAGTCCTTCACTATCCTTGGATTCGCAAATTTGCAACCGGTGCACAGAAGAGAGGAAAACCCTGATGTATTGGCCATTGACCCCAGAGGCTGAATCATTGTCAGACCGATAGCCAATGGCTTTTAAGACTGCTAATGGAATAACTGACTAATTGTTGACATTGTTGAAGTCCTACAGTAGCCTGTATTTGATCGTCAGCATCCTTGTAACCCTAAAAGTGCTTTCACGCCGCTGCACGGTAACTCGCCGCCTCCAGTCATTTGAACGAGGATTAGGCGTCAGAGAGGAAGTTGTTTCCAACACGGCAGTAGGACTATGAAGCCGTTGCCGCCCATGTGCAGACAGAAAAACTGAGCCTAGGATAAGATCTCCACCAAACATAGTGACTGGTAAATTGTCCAAATATGTCGAAATCTTTGGTGATTTCAGTGGTTTCCGATGTCTAGCTACAGTATGTAGCTGCATGCTAGCTTGCACTTCTGCCAGTGTTCATCGAAGCAGCTGCCTGTCATTGGACCACTGTGGCAACAGCTGCTTTTAAAAACCCTTTTGGGGGGAAGACTCTTGGAGGTCGGCGGTTGTCAGGGCGGTTACCGCACGGTGGTTTTAAAGCAGCTTAAGCAACACAATGAACCAGCTCACGAAGTCTTGCTAAATGGAAGTGTGAGCTAAATTAATTTACACAATGTAGTATACATTATCTTTTTCATTCTTCCTGTGATTTTTAGACAGGGTTTCTGTCTTCCTGTCATGAGTGGCAGCAGTAGTATCTAGAGGAAAATGTCAAATGCATTTCTGGCTGAAGTTCTGCTCTACTAATCAAGGCATGACAGGTCATAAAATCTGAATCCTTTATAGCTGTATCCGGTGCGGTAGCGGTTTGAGCTGCTTGTTTAATCCTTTATGATTGCATTTTTACAAAAGACGGGATAAATGGGGGTAATTCATCAAGTCCGTGTCCTACATGAACAAGACTTTTATTTGAACAAGGCCTGCCCATCTGTCTAAATTCAAATAAAAATGGTTAACATAAACAAGCTGAAGGAGAAAACTACAAACCCGAGTCCTCTATAAACTCCCCCCCTTCCCCCTGAGGAAAATGATCACACAGATATTGTTCTCATTCTTGATAAAGCCATGTGGTTGTGGTATCTCCTTTGATGACAAGCCAGAACAGACTCCACACACACACGCACACACACAGGGTTTTGGATGTATCCAAACATTTACCTGCTAGGTGTTGAATTTGATTGAACCCTCAGATGCTTATCCAAACGTGCAGATGTCTCGCTGTTGTCCCTCCTCCCTCCTCCAAACGTCTGTGAACATCAGTGACACTGGTGAAATGGGAGCCTCCACACCTGCAGTTACAGTGATATTAGGCCACAAAGCCTTTTATCTTGTCCCAACAGGACCCAGGGAAATGTTGTACGGGAACATTGGGATGTTATATACACAGTAGTCTGTTCCGTCTCCAAGATCTACATCCATGTAGAGACTGTTCCAAAGGCTGTTTGTAAGGTTACTAACTATGTTTAGAGTACAGAATTTGGAGACTCCACACAGACAACATCCAGGAAAATTGATTTTAAAGGAATACTCCACTCAAAATCACTCTTTTGAGTATCAAGTACTGACTTGTGCATCAGCTCTATACAGAGCCTACACATGTAGCACATGCCGTTGTGAGCATTTATACTTGTGTGATGGTGTGTCTGTGTAACTCTGCAGTTACACCTCCACAACACTAGTCCGTGGCAGGGTTTCTGTGAAATACTGGAAAGTTTCATTGATTCAAAACACACATTAAACACACATTAAACATGGCTAAATAGAGACAATTTCAAACACACGTACACAAATCAGCTTCACTATAACTCGCAGCATTCACAGACACATTTTCCCCAAAAAATATAACATGCTAACATTATTAGCACAAGCCTTTGGCATTTTACATTGTAGAAATTAGCTTAGCAGCTAGCGGACTTTTCTTCTACTCAAATGAAGCCAGGGACAACAGCAACATTTAACAAAGGTAACGTTACAAAATTCAACTCCATTACAACTCATAAGGCTCACTGACAAAACAACTGTCTTATACTAAACATGTTTCCCACACAAATACATCATGCTAACGTTATTAGCACAAGCCTATGGCATTTTACATTGTATAAATTAGCCTAGCAACTGGCGGACATTTCCTCTACTCATATGAAGTCAACAACATTTAACAAAGGAAACGTTAGAAAATTCGACTCCATTACAACTCACAAGGTTCACTGACAAAACAACTGTCTTATACTAAACACAATTTCCAAACAAATATAATATGCTAACGTTATTAGCACAAACCTATAGGATTTTACATTGTATGAATTAGCCTAGCAACTAGGAGAGATTTCCTCTACGCTTATGGAGCCAGGCTAAATCACACACAAGATT